TTTTCCGCAGTTGTGCTTGAAGTCGGTGCTTTCACAGACACATCTCAAGGTTGGGTGGTGGGCTAAAATGCTAGTTAATGGAAGTTGAAGTTCGAAGACGAACGACCAATAAAGATAAAAGATAAAGCTTTTGCCATTGATCAATCCCTGGGAAGCGGCAGCGCTTCTACTTCATTATAATTCGCATGCTTGAATCGAGTGCCTATTGCAATGATTGCGGGCAGCAATGTTCAAGTCAGTGTTTTTATCCTCCCAGACAAGTCTGGTACCAATTAACCGACCCCGGAGGGATGGAAGGCTTGGTTGGCCCGGGCGACTCACGACCCAGGATTTGATCCCGGACCGCTCGCGTGGTGAGCGCGCCACTTGTCACTGCACCACTTCCGCCCTCCGTCCCACGCCAATACGGAGACGATAGGAAAACTCAAATAATTCGAAATAAATCAACAGTTTGCCCACAATGTGGACAAATAAGGCGCTAGACAGCGAATGAGGTATAATGCTCGCAGAGGAAAAAATTCTCCAAGCTAGACATCGAGATCATCAAGGCGATGTACTGTAGTGATCAGAAGTTTGCTGTTTTGTTTTCGGCCTGGCGCACAACCAAATTGCCCCGACTTAACATATCATATACAAAATCAAGTCTAGAGTACGATGTGCAATATACAGTTCAAAAGTATAAAGCCACCCTTGAATGCATCTGTTCCGAATTAGAATAAACGTTTCCGTGGTTTTGATACATATTCTATTGAATTTGGCACGCTCTAAAACTATAGTCAGTCTTGTTTTAAAAATCGCTATTAGCTATAAACGTTTTATAAGAACATTGAAATTTCCACTGTTCCAAAAGTACAAAGCCACCCCGGACGACTAGACATCTACGGCGAAATTTGTTCTTCCTGGTGATTCATTTGAAGATCTGTGACCATACCTAGCACAAAGACATTATGTCTTCACTATGCCACCACGATCTAATTCTTATTAGAGAGCAAGTGCGTCCGGAATCGTTATATGACGGACCACTCGAATCGATCCATAGATCCAACTTGGTGGGGGGCTGGTTCTTTTACCACAACTGTAATCCGCGGAAGTTTTAGGAAAAAATCTTAGTTGCGTTATGAAGAAGAGACATCTGGAAGGCACGAGCCTTACCAAATCGAAGTTATTACGCAGTGAATATCAGAATGTTCTTTTCTGATCACCTTTTCCCGTTTCTAAGTGAACATCGTCGGCAAAACTTCATCTTTATGCATCGGCAGCCACCATCCATGGAAGCCGGTCCACTCAGCACTGGCCTAACATCAACAAAATAAATGTATGATGGCCGGGTCTTCAGCTGAATTCTAAATCCAATAGAAAAAATCGGTTTCATAACTTCTAGACAATATACGCAGATGGAAGTCAGTTACAGTATTGGAAACCTCAGACATGTCATCGGAGTATATTTTACCAAACTGAATCCTTATAAACGTTTGAAGCTACGAAAGTTGTCAAATGCCTATTCCATGCTCTTTCCCAACAAAGGGTACGAATTACTTAAGCACGATGTCACTTTTTTTTTAAGGAAATCGAGTTATTTTATTGCAAGTTGGCTTCATAGTATTGCGGGAAGCTTAGTTCACCCAAAAAGGGTAGATTGGGATGCCCAGCTGACGCGCATCAATCGAAAATCCTCGCGACGTCAGTGGAAATTATAGTTCTATATGATGGGAGCGCAATGCTCAGCTACCTGTTTCCTTCCCTTTTGCCTCTCGTTTTTTTTTGTACAGATGTTTAATTCCTGTTTTTCCTCTGCTTCTCTCGTCTTTCACAGGTCAGCCCGTCTTTGGGTAGTAAGCTATTTAAATATTTGTGATTTTACCGCTCGACACCTTTTGGACTCTTTTTACTGTAATAGACAATTGAAGTCATCATAGAAATGTCGAATAATGAGCAAAACTCTGCCTCTGGAGCTTGAACCTGTAAAGGGGCTGGAATCCGGCTCGGTGCTCTGCGCTGCCTGGCTCTCGAAGCTTAATACTAACGTGTTTGTCAGAAACCTGTTTGTAGGCGGTTGTGCGAGGATAAGAAGGTCGTATCAGAGTCAACTGGTAAGGGAGGTGTCGTTAAAAGATCTGTGGTCTTTCGACACGATTTTCACCCTGCATCTAATGTAACCAATTTTATCTCAGATCTTATCATCAATGACTGTTCAATATGAGACCAACTCCATATAGAAGGTACACTCCTGGAACGGCATCCACCATGATCGATTTTCCGAATAAAATGACTCGGAACGAATGCTGGCTCGAAATGACTATCCGATTGATTATCGTAGTGGTTGATCTAGGTGATCGCGCGGGAATCCCTGTCGCCATTGCTGAACAGTGGTCACTGCATTGTATCGACTGCCCTCGCGATGCTTCGTGTTAACCATTTTTTCGATGTTTTTTGTATTTGCGTCCGCGTAAGGCTTGTGTTCGTAGTGGCTTTGCACATTGGCATGATATAATAGTAATAGCCATGTTGCCCAAGTTGTTTTTCCGTCTGTTTCTAGATGCATACGCCTGCCTGGTCACCGTTTTCTACGTCGTCACCGTCCTCAGTGAACTCAATTCAGTTTTGTAACACCGAAAGTGGTCAGGCGCTCGCATCCTCATTCCTGCCAAAGATGTGCACCAAGGTTTATTTGTTTTTTTGACATAAAGTGACCTGTAATGAAATCAGGGTGTTACGTGAGGCAGTTTTTGAGTAAAAGGAATTTCGGGGGAAATAATTCCTACCCACAGAGAAGTTTCCCCTTCTTCGAAGCAGAGCGAGGGAGGGGGAACTCGGAAGTGTTGGGAAATAAATAGTTTTTGCCAAAGCTCGGTCTGCGGGAATTTCGGAGGATTCACCCATCTTACGTAGTTCGCTCTTACCTTGTACCACGAATTTCCGGAAACAGCGACGAGGGGTGACGCGATAGTTATGGTTGCCTCCGAGGATGCCACACGTTCCCAGACTTCTATCTAGAGTTTGCGAGTCAAATTCACCACTATTTAACACCAATCGCATTGATTCTGTCTTTATGCGTGTGTGCAACTGGGTTATATGAATTGTAATTATAAAATGACTGACTGTCACTTGCCACCAATGCGCTAGTTCTGCTTTCCTCGTGAAGTCTACCATCATGGGCTTAGGCCTACGGCGAATGTGACCGTCTTGCAGTTGCGCCATGCGTCCTCCTCGTTTTTGCGATCCACTTCGATTGATTCCGATCATTTTTAGTGGCAAAGCAGTTTCAGAATTGGGATTGATGTGTAGTTGTGGTTGTTTCCTAATTGAATCGATCCTTTTTTCGTGAAAGTGAGATGAGGGCGGCAGGGGAACGGACCAAATGGAATAGGGTGGAGGTATTTAGTTTGAAACTGGTACGGTACGAGAGAACATAGGCTTGGGCGATACTCCGATCCAGTAGTCTCCAATACTCCGATAGTCCGTAGGCCTTCTGTATGCGTATGCGAAAGTTGCGACACTGATTCTTAATTTGTCGCATTCTCAATGGTTTACCGTGTGCTCTAAATGGCATATCCCAAAGCAGTCGATTAGCATCATACAATTTGTTCTCGATCATTTACACCGCTCAAAAACCAATGATGATCCTGATCGATTCCGTGAAATCAAGTTGCGTGTAAAGATCGCGGGAGCTCGCTGATAGAAAAGATGGGTGACGATGAAAGAATTTGGTGATAGCGATTTCGATTTTGGAGAAATAGAGGCAAAATAATTGATAGAATACGATGAAATCGAAGTGTGAAGATGTCAGTACCCGAAAACTCAAAAAGAGTTTCTAGTACAGCACTCCGTGAATTACGTAGAATTACCCCGCCACCAGCATTTCTGACAGATGTCCGGCGAGAGTTTGGACACTTAACACAGTCCTTCCGGTTTTTCAAATAGTTTACCACAGTCTTTCCGGTTTTTCGAATATTTTACCAACAAAAATGCAGTTTTTTGTTACTTTCTTTCTTTATCGTGGACATAAGTCCCAAGCGAGTGATTTATGGGTGAGATAAAATCATGCCTTCTCCGGAATGGATTCCTTTATTAGAGTGTGCGACGCGTTCCACAAAGAGATTGATCACGTAATAACTTTTATCCTTAAGTCGTTTCAGGTAGTACAATACGAACGATAAATTCGAGTAACACTTTCGACTAATACGTTTAAAGGCATGCCCCAGGATCACATTGGTGTGGCTCTTGTACACGAATGCGAATGTATTGGTGGGAAGTGGGCCGGCAGTAAAGAAAAAAGGAAAAGAATCCGTCAAAAACGCTTAGGTTAAGGGCTCACTCACCTTCCTAATCGGCTGTGCTAAGGGAATGAGAGACTAAGCGCGGAGAGGAGAGTATGGGCGAGAGAGCGCTACAGATGAGAGATCGCGCAGACAACAGCCTGATAAGAGAAAAAAGTCTGCAGCTTGGGCAGCTTACTTTGCAAGGCCCAAGCGCTCTTATCGGTCGGTTTCCGTGCACGAGAACGCCACATTTGTGATTGTCCTCTAGGGGTCTATACTACAGACCGAAGAGAAGCGTTCACACGACCTCTGCCTGGGTTGTGCCTTTAAATGAAGAGGATCATTTTGGAGACGTGGGCATTTTTGTTCACAGCGTCCAGGAGATGGGTGCAGCATGCCCGAACTCGGGGATGGTGTAAAAACCTCTACGTCTCTGCTGGTCAAGTCGCAACTCTCATGGTCAAGAATGGGGGAAGCGTCTAGAGAGCAGAGTTCTGGGGATCCCTCCCCGAGTTGGTGCTTGCTGCACTCCGCCCCAGAAGTTTTTTTGGGGGCGGGTGCGGCGCATCACATGTTCCCATTTTCTAACAATAAGGCGTGCCCACATGGGAACAAGCTCCGAATACCTCACACCGATGTTTAGCGTGATCTCTGCTGCTGGAATGTACCTTTTTGTGAAAGATTGTTCCTGTCTAGCTTATCATTAATAGCTTCCAAATGTTTGTTTTCAGGTACATTTTTATGTTCCAAACCCCAATTGTGCCCGAGTTAACAGTGAAAAATCGTGATTTTCACATGTTTGATGTGATGCTACGTGGTAAGAAAGCCGGAATTCGGAACGCTCAGAATTTCACTGACGAAGATCTCGAAGCATGGAAACATGTGTTCAGCCAAAAAGGTATAGAAGAACTGTTGAACGTGTTGATTTAATTTAGGTGGCAGACGTTGCCACTGCATGGTGTACCGCGGCCTATTAACGACTGGTCAAAAATGCATCAACTACGAGGGCTTGGGCAACTAAGATGGCTTGATGAGTTGGAGAAAGCGAGCAGGTGCAAGCTTAACATGACTGAGGCGGCCATCGAAAGTCACTCCGTCTGTTGGAAACTTCCCAACAAATAAATTCGTATTTTGTGATTCTGGGGGGAGCTGAGTCGTATACTTAGATTCGCGCTCTTTTGAAGGATGCAGGTTTTTTGGTGGTTGTGAAGTTTCCCTCGAAATTCGGAGAGTTTCCAAAATGTATCCTTTCCAGCAGTAATTCCCCTTCTCCTACTTCTCGTGCACTTTGATATTTTGTAGGGCCAGTTGAAGGCGTGTCGAGCGTGGACCATGTTCACCGAGACTATATCAACCACTGATCGTTGGATAATGTCGTATTGGGGATCCTTTTAGAGGGAAGGTATCGTCTAGCGCCAGACTTTTCTCAGCGTGAGGGCTGCGCTTGCTTACATCGCTTTCGCTAATGCCATTCACCGTGTCGTGGTTGCAAAAAAACAGATAAGTTGGTGAGATTTATTTAATCTCTGTGGAAGTAATTGGTAACTCCTTTTAGGTGGACATATGCGATAGACGGGAACTTCCAGCACATTGGGAAGTATGGCCTTGTTACGGGACAGTGATGTGTTTGGTAACTTCGAACAAACAATCCGGGGATTCTTCCAATCGATAAGCGCCCGAAGTTAGGCATGTGCCCATTTGAACCGCATGTTGAAACCTTCTCTTAGCTGTAATCTGTCAGACGGAATCTGAATGCAAAGTTACTATTACTCGATCGTGTCCTTTTAAGCGTCTTCACAATCTTCCAGATGCTCTGAGTGGACCAATAAACTACTACCGCAACCTGAAGAAACAACCGTTCATGGGATGAACGCATTTGCAAGATGAGTCGCCTGGATTTCAGTGTGTCTGAATTTTTGTTGTTTTTCTGAGCAAACCATTGCCTTGCTATGCGTTTTTTAGCCTCCCACGCTCATAATTTGGGGAGATGAAGACCAGTTTCTCGTCAAAGAAGGAGCAATAGCGAGCCTGAAGGTAAGCACTTCGTTCCAATCAGCCCTTTGTACAGGAGCAAGGCGAGCCTCATTCGGTTTTTCCAGTATTGCCGACACGGTCAGCTGAAGTTCATCGAAGGGTGCATCACACTGGGTCATGCAGGACGAGCCGTCTCAGGTTAACAGCTTAGTGGATGAATTTCTCGCCACTCCCACTCAAAAGCTGCTGGAGTCATCGTCGTCGAAATTGTAATGGTGTGATATGTATTATGATCTGATATAATTGTTTTTTCTTAATAAAATACATTGAAAACAAAAGCAGTAAAAAATTTGGGGGAGTAGGGTATACCGGCCAATCTTTGTCGATGATCGTATATATATCGACCCTGTATTGAGGAACTGAATTAATTTCATTGGACAACGTGACCATGTATGTACATATGACAGAAAACATACACATTCTGTGAAGGCGCCACTTGCGTTGTATTGTCTGCAGCCGACGCTCTTCTCGTATTTTGAAATGGAGGGTATGTATTTCGTAAACTGAAGAACAGAGATCACTAACTGAATTTTTGTTGCGTGTTTGCGGAATCAGGGACCTGCGTTCATCCGCGTTTACTTTGAGCTAACACGGACATTCGAATGCAGGCGACAGGCCCCCGTGACAGGCCGGCCTACGAACACCCACGTCACATCACAAATGTCATGTCGCTATGTGAATCGAGAGATAATGCTACGGCGTCCGCGGGAGCCGACGCGCACTCGCAAAGCCCGGCGAGTGTGAAAAGTATGCGAGGGTCTCCGGTGCAAGGACGGCATCGGGGGGCAACTAGGCTAGTCCAAAAGTCCCGCAACGTATGGAAGGTTCGCGTTGCAACATTGAATGTTGGCACATTGACAGGTCGCTCGTGCGAGTTGGTAGAAGCACTGGAGCGAAGAAGAATTGATTTCTGTGCCGTGCAGGAAACGAGGTGGTCCTGCTGTAAGTCGAGGGACATTGGCCGCGGCTTCAAAGTCGTTCTCTGTGGCAGTCCCAGGACAACCAGCGGCGTCGGTGTGGTTGTCTCTGAACGTTTCCGCGATTCTATTGCGAATGTCGAACGTTACGATGACCGCTTGATGAAGATCGTTGTTGCTATGGAGCAGTAAAAACGTTAATATTAGGTACCGGATATCTTAGTGTCGTTTTTTCACCGCGAGTTTCGGACCACCAATATTTTAATTCAAAATCCAGTGAGTGAAACGGCATATCCATCGAATGACTCATTAGCCCTTTCCCATTTACCAGTATGAGTGAAAACCTCGTACGATTAAAGTTAGGAATTTTTTGAGACGAAAAAGAGAGGTAGGTCGAATTTGACATCATCTGACAAATCATCCCTCTACCTTGCTAAACAGTTGGGCCTGGACAAAATATGTATACATTTAGTTAGAGTAGGGTCGAGGCTATCGGTTAGAGTAGGGTCTGCACTGTTTGGTGGAAAAATTTATTACTTACCAGCTCAACTGGACAATTTTTCCCGGAGTCTTTTTTGCCACATAGGGTCAAAAACGCACCCTTTTTGAGCACACGTGAGTAGCAGATGAGCACATTTATTAGAATTTCTTGGTCAATCAACTTCGTTAGAGCGTCTGTGCACCATCGATCAGTAACTGCTAGGGTGTCCTACCATTCCAGCACAAGACTGGTGCAGCCCCGTTTTGACTGATTTAGCTAGGACCACCTTTTTGGCGACGGTTGCGGGCATCCCTTCAAAGACTTTACTGTCTTTTAAGAAAACTGTGAAAAACCGATGAGCATTTTAAATGGTAGTATTCCCTCCAACAAATGCAATGTTGGTTTGGTGGGCGGAAGTTGTAGCTCTCAGCAAGAATTTTGAAGCATTTGGTACACACATGCGAATTTGCACACTGGACCCAGGAATTTTCAAAAAAGTATAAAAATTGGGGGAAAGTTAAATTGTGAACCAACAATAGAAGACGGTAAGCAACATATTTCGCAATATTAATGAGCAAAAACTGCCTTCTGGGATATTGATTTTCCATAGTAATCGGCCCCAAAACTTCCTGAACTCAGAAAAGCGACACTAAGATATCCGGTACCTAATACAATCCTTCTGGCGCACCTCCAAACGACTGAATTCTCCGGAACCTGAGCCAAGGACGAGTTCCGGCAGAGGGTCAACCCTGCGTTGCGCAAAGAACAACGAGGGGGTCGTATTCAGCCGACCGAAAAGGGAGGGGGTCGTATCCACAGACGGGCTGCAAGACGGCTTGAAAAGTGCAGTGTCCGGGAGTGCACTTTCAGCCTCTAATGTTCTCCAGGAGCTCTGCACGCTGTCGGAGAGTCACACAGACATGAGCTCCATGGGAGCATTAAAGCATGCAGAGCACTATAAGTCTCACCATCAGCTTATTATCCTTAATCGACGCTATCCGGACGGCGCTTTTGCTCCGCGGCATAGATCAAGAGTACAATAGACAATAGCCAAAAACTTTGTTACAGTGTAGTGCAAAAACATGGTCTGTCTTCGATGATGAAACATTCCTGAAATCCCGAGGAGAACAAAGTGTAGAGCAGTTCATGGGAAAGTGAAACAAGAGTGCCATATAACAGCACATACAACTCAATCAGGATACTAACACCTTCTTCAGGAAAACAGAAGACTTTCAAATGCGAGTGCGAATTCTGCCCACAGATAGGTGCACGGCGTATACCCGAGCAGGCGTTTTCCATAAAAACGCCTCCTCTGTCAGCGCAGACAAACTTTCTGAAGAGAGTTTTGATGCTTTCAAATAAAATCTAAGCGAAACAAAGTGTAGCGAATTTGCTGAATTGAGTTCTAGAGACGCCGTAGGAAAATTGAGGCAGAAGAAGGAATTTCAGGGAAATTTCACAGTTGTTATGAAGTACTCTTCGAGTGGATTCCAACAATCTTTACCGCTTCTCATCACATTAATTTCAAAGGAAGTTATGGGCCTTTAAAGACTGCATAGTCGCGGTCCAGGAAAAAGGCTTGAAAAAAATCAAGGTGGAATTGACGGAACAACGGGACTATTTTTTGAGCGAGTGATTATTTCAAGAAGTTTTAGCACTTATTCGAAAGCTCTAATCCTCTAGTTTCTAATTAGCCTTAGACATCTGCAAAATGTTGAGTATGAAGAAAGTTATTAACGTTTGAATGTCGAAAACTCGCGCCTTCTCAAAAATCGGACCCCAAACCACCCAAGAACGGAACAACGGGACTATTTTTTGAAAAAATGATCGCTGGAAAATTTTCAGGTGCTTGTTCGAAAGCTAATCTTCTAGTTTCTAATTAGCCTTAGACATTTGCAAAAAGTTGATTATGAAGAAAGTTATGAATGTTTGAATGTCAAAAACTCGCGTGTGCACAGAAAACGGAACAACGGGACGATTTTTTGAAATACTGAACATCCACAACATTTCAAATACTCCTCAGGAAGAAAACTATTTATATTTTCAAAATTTTGGTGTCCGATTTCATGAAACAGCTTCTGAAAGAAAATATAACCTTCTGAATGGAGGGGTTTGGATTGCAATGTAATTGCTACAAGGTTTAGTTTTTCAGATTATAAGGTAAGGAAAGTTGAGAGATCGAAAAAATCCTGGTGGGTTTCTGAAAGTAGAAATCTTTACGATTAAAATGATGTATTGGTTCGTATTTTTTAATGAATTAAACTTCATTTGCGCGATTTCGCCTCTGAGCGAGACAGGGCGTGACTGCCATCATTGATGAGCATTGATGAGCATTAAATTATGTGAAAGACATGATAGTTAATATGGGGGGTCGTACCGATACCCCCGAAAAGGAAGGGGGTCGTAAAAATTTGGGAATTTGCGCAACGCAGGGTTGACCCTGGTTGGGACCCTGCTGATGAGAAAACAGCTGAAGTACCATCGGAGGACGCTATCATTGTCGCAGGTGACCTTAATGGACACGTTGGATCTGCGAAAGATGGTTATAGTTGTCATGGTGGGTTTGGTTATGGGTCACGAAACGCCGATGGTGAGCGAATTCTTGAATATGCAAGCTCTCACAATCTCACCATCGTGAACACAAACTATCGTAAACGTGACTCACACCTCATCACGTTCTACAGCGGTAATACCAGAACTCAGATTGATTTCGTTCTTGTCAGGCAACGTGATCGAGGGCTAGTGACGGACGCGAAGACAGTGCCGTACGAGACAGTCGCTACGCAACATCGACCACTGATTTGCACATTAAAGATTGCCCCTCCAAGGACCAAGAAAGCCGAACGGTGTGGGCCTGCAAGGATCAAGTGGTGGCGATTGAAAGAAAAGGAATCCGCTCTGTTCAGTCGCATTCGGCTACCGCCAGTAACGACTGTCGACGAAACATGGAAATGTGCCACAGAAGCGATAGTCCGTGTTGCTCGCTCCGAGCTTGGCATTACGAAGCCTGGACGGCGGAAAATCGACAAGCAGACATGGCTGTGGACCGACACTGTCAGAGAAAAAGTACGGGAGAAGAAAAGGCTCTACCAAGTGTTTCTCGGTGACAAGTCAAGCGATAACTGGAACAACTATCAGAGCGCGAAGAAGGCAGCAAAGAAAGCTGTGGCTGTTGCTAGAGCAGTTCATCTCGATGGCGTTAGCGAGAAGCTCGAGACGCGCGACGGCGAACGCTATATTTACAAACTAGCCAAGGCTCGCCATCGCCAGACCGAAGATATCGAGAAGTTCTTTGGCATCAATGACGAGAACGGGCGACTCGTAATGGACCGCAAGAGGGCTGTGAAGCGGTGGCACGACTACTTCGAGAAAATCTCGACAGTGGAATTCTCACACCCGCCAATACCTTCTGCTCCTCCGGTCCACGGCCCTGTCTCGAAGATAACTGTGAGCGAAACAGAGGCGGCTTTGAAGAAGATGAAGACAGGTAAAGCAACGGGTCCCGACGACTTGGCGGCCGATCTGTGGAAGTCACAGTGCTGGAATCCAGCAGAGTGGCTGACGAACTTCTTCAACCAAGTCGTCGCAGAAAAGAAAGTGCCGGAGAGTTGGCAACAGAGTACGACGATCCCGATTTGGAAGAAAAAGGGGAGTCCTGCAGATTGCACGAGCTACCGACCAATTCGTCTGCTCTCCCACAGCATGAAGGTATTCGAACGAATTGTAGATCGCCGTATTCGTGACA